CTAGTCGTTGAGAGTCCTGTCACCTATTTTATGATAGGAAGGCATTGAACGGAACAGGAAGAGATGGGTAGACACGCATGGATAGACTAGCAGTTTGCTGAAACTAAATGCCTATTGGTTATAATCATATTAGCTTCTTACTTTCAGTGCCACTAAATGAGAACATCAGTAAACTGTTAGAATCTAAATTCCATAGTTTCTTAAAGGAATTAATTTCAAGTGCTTGCTTGCTTTTGGAGTTTTCTACAAATATCATAATTTAGCTCCACTCTGCTTTCTCTATAAATACTCTCAGGATAAAGGTTCTGATGAACTTTCCTCTATGGTACCACGACTTTATGAATTTAAGCATAGTACAAGATTGGCGACAAAGTCTCATCATTTTACAGCTGAAATGACTAGTTATAGGTGTTATTTCTATGCTAACAGTTTCTTTTCTCAAACCTCGTTTGTGGAACTCTCTTCCGGTTTCTTGCTTTCCAGCCAATTTTGATCTTTAAAAATTTAAATACAATGTCAATCATTATCTTCTGTCTTCTTAACCCTTTGCCTGTCCTGCGCATCATAATGATGCACACGTGCTATGATTTTTTTTAAAAAAAGTGGTAAAACTAAGGACATTTAAGAAAAGAGATTACTATTGAGCAGGACGTCTGAGGAAAGGCCAAATCTGAGATTTTGTGTATCATATATCGTCACAGGACGCTTGACTGATAAGGTCTCAAATGAAAGACATCTATTTTTCCACTTTATTGAAATTATTATAACCTTTGCATCACATGCACAGAACATACAAATCATAAGTTACTTACACTACGCTCTGTGATGCAAATGTTACAATATGTTTTTATTATGTGAAACACTATATATCAACACATCCTATTTGCTAAATAAGCTGAGCTACCTTGCAATAGGTGTAAATCTGAAAACAAGCATGAACGTTTGGATAGTACACACGAAAATTCCTTGGACAGGCAAAGGGTTAATTCCTGTTCTATTATTGTTCTTGCGCCTAAATAATGTTTTTCTTTTTCTTATATTCTTTCACACTCAGTAACTATCCAACCCCATGTTTTAGTGGCTTTATTGCTTTGCTTGGAATGAAATGGTTTTAAAAAAGCATGTAAATGTGTCATACTGCGCAAGTTGTTAATATACTAAATATTTCTCATTTTTATGTTATTATTATTTGTTTAGAATTGAAGACTATATTTTTTTTATACTTGCCTATCTATCGATCGCTTTATAAAGGTATTCGATTCACCAAATGTCACTTAAGTAAGTCTACTTAACAAAATAGAAGTTAAATTTGATTCTAAACTGTAGAAACAAAAGTCAAATTGTAAAGTGTTTCTCGCTTGAATTTGATAAATATATAATTTAAGAGAATACTACTTTTAAGTATCGTATCACTTAAGGCCGTGGTCGATCAAGATTCTCCACAACTTCCTATTGTATGTAACTATTAGGACCGTTTATCTTTTTACTATCTCTCCTATTTTCTGTACTACTATTCAATTAAAAAGGTCATTGTTCTCTGTCTTTCTCTGTATTCTTTCTTCAAACATGCCTCTTTACTCTTGTTCTCAATCCTCTGTAATCCCTTGCGTGCTAGTGGCACCTCTGCCTTGTTTGGGGTGAATTGCTTAAAAAAAAATAACCTTGGTGTTTTCATTTATCCCTCTGCCGACCTTGCTTTCAATATGACCTATGGATTTCAAATTTACTAAGTTCTCTTTCATTATATATCACAGACTTTTTAATCGTCTATTTTTGTTTCCAAATGCAAATGTCCTCTTCGTTTCCATCACATGTTCCATAACTGGCATTTCAGCATCCTTCTGTAGAACCACATCTCTGAGGAAACTGTCCAACATTCACAGCTATATAGGACTGATATTAAATTGCAGTTCAGTAGGTTGTTTTTTTTTTTTTGTTTGTTTGTTTGTTTCTAACGAATTTTTCTTAATACTTCGTTTAACATTTTGAAGGTATTTTTCATTATTCCAGTGCTCCTCTGATTTCTGTCATATTTTCTGTAATCTGTCATAACCCTAACCCCAGATAGTTAAATTTCAGTACTTAACATCTCCACTTCGTATCTCGCATCTTGGACTGTTACTTTTGCTGACCAACCTACATTCTCTCCTTTTACAATTGATGGTTAGTCCTTTGCTTTACTACAATTAAAATATTTAACTATGGGACGTAGTTATCGTAACAGATAATCACTTAATTTGAGTTCTTAACAATATATCGTCAACAGGCTATGTTTTTTTTTAATGGGATTTAATATCAATTAATTATTAATGCTTTCTACTTTTTAAATTTAACATACTTATAGAATGTTATTTTTAAAGAATTTTAGGACAGTTTCCAAACTGTTGAAAAGCTTATCTAAAGTCAACTCGTTAAATATTGCTTTAATCATTTAAGCATTTATTCTCTAGAGGTATTAGTAATCAAATTATTTTGAATATATTGTTAGATGGAACATTAATTTATTATTTTTAATAATATTTTTTTCATTTTATTTTATTTTTTTATTTTAAAAAATGACAATGGTGTATCAGGCATTTGGAGAAAATAAATCAGACTGGTTGTTAAACTTGTTTATATTTTTGAATTTACAAAACTTAATCAAGTACAATGCAACCTCGGTTCTCGAACGTCTCAAATGTCAAACAAATCGATTTACGAACAGAAAATTCGAGATGAAAATGCTTCGGTTATCGAACAAAATTTCGGTTATCGAACAACATTGCCGAACCGAGTTAACCCGAACGGAATCATTTCTGAATCGACCCCCATGTTGTGTACATTCGTGGCGTGCTTTTCTTTTCCAATTTTATTGTAATGTGACATTTTTTTTTCTCTAAATTGATTCTTATTTGAAAAATAGTTTCGGTTTACGAACATTTCGGGTTACGAACGGCCATCAGGAACGAATTAAATTCACGAACCAGTGGAACATCACTGTATTAACTTTTTATTTCAGTTTACCATTATATGAGCAAAATAAAACATTGACTAAAATAGCAAATCACGAAATACCAAAAATATCAGCTGAAAAATAAGTTGACATTAACTGTTCACAACAATAGCAACAGCGTTTGTAAAATAGCTGATAAAATGTTTGACTAAGGTGAAATTTAAACAATTTTACCCGCTTGCCTTTCGCTGCCCAAGGCAGCTAACCGAATATACTGACTTCTGGAGGAAAAGAAATTCGAATTCGAATTTCCTGGGGGAGGGGTAGTTCTTTATTCCTGCTCCGCGCTGCTTACAAGCGATCTAAGACTGCGAGTTGTGATAAAAATCAAAAGGGGATAGATTAAAAACCTGCTCATCTAACATTACTAATAACGAACGCTCATATCGGCGGCCTACATTCAAACGTATATATTTTACAGAGCTCCATTTATATTTCAATGAACAATGACAACTACTTTCACTCAAAAGTTAACACTCTCGTCTGCCGAAAACAATTCGTTAGTAAACTTACTTTGATTCTTATTAGATGTCTCACTACTTGTGCTTAACTAAGCTAACTTTAATATATAGATTCAAATGTTTTGATTTTAGAATTAATAAATTTAATTTCTTTATCCAAAAGGAATTTGGTTGTTCTTCATTTTGCTACCTCTATACTTACAGAAACTGATTAAAATTTATTATAATTATTATAAAAAATCATTTTAACTTTAGTATAAATAAACAAAGGTAAGTAACCAAGATTCCACAAATGGTGATTTACAGAATTTGAAAAGTGTTAAAGTAAATGTTTTTATACATAACGAAATTGCTTCTATTGTTCATAGACATTTAATAAGTCCCGATAAAAATAAAATATATAAACAAAAAAATAAAAAGAAGTCAAATTAAAATAAGGCATTTGCGCTTTACTTTAAACTCCCCCCCCACACACACACACAAATGAAAAGAAGAAATGACTGAGCCTGGCCGGAAGTTTGCAGGATCAGATCCTACTTATTTGCAACTGAATACTAATACATGAGGGTTCCGCGCATATCTTCCGTTATAAAAAAAAAAGAAAAAGAAAGGGACGCCGGAAAATAAAATAATTTTGGTTAATCAAAAAATGACACAAAGAAATTTTTGATGTTAGCCGAAACTAATGTTCACTCCAGGGTTTCGGAGTATGGCCAAAAGGATACCTCTGAGCTAGAAGCAAAAAGGACGACAAGAGTAAAGAACAGAGACGCGGCCGTTAGAAAAGCCAGCCATGAGTGAATTAGTTTAAGAGGTCATCTGCTAAAGATATGTTTGCCCTGTTTAGGGCCGAGAAAAACAAAGTAGATTGACAGTGACCTATTTCTACTTTCTATTCTAATATCACTACTACTACCCCTAGCATGGTCTGACTTCAAGCACCATTGCCGGCCATTCCTCCAGACTGCTACCAACATCCGCCTTATAAACGAACATTTTGCAACACCGAATACCAAAGGAATACTAAAGAAAATAAATAAAAATCTATTATTTGATTATACCTTGCCCCAGTTCGTTTTATTCCAAAGTTTCCAGTAAAGAAAATTTTACCAACAATATATCCACAGACACTAATAGAGACTATTGGATTTTTTTCACATTCTTTTGTGACCAAATTCCCTTTCTTACATACAGTAGTAAATAAATACCAAGCCTTGGATATATCGAGTAAAAGGTTAGAAATATCACAGATATTAGATATGTGAGAACTTACCCCTGCTCACTTTCAAGAACATGACCTTCTTTTGATCCCTGAGAAACAAATTCACAGTTGGTAAGAGAGTAGCCCGGAACTCGGACATCTGAGATCAAAAGTGTGAGTAAAAACCTTTCATGCTTACATGAGAAAAAGAATTCTTGTGTTCACTAAAACGCACACATTTGTTTTCTATGAGCGACTGTTTAGATTTCAGAAAACCTTATCTGACAATTAAAGAAAACAACCTATAAAGTGCTACTTATAATGTCCTTCTCAAACCTTCGCAGTTTACGGCTATATCACGTTAAAACTGCGGTTCACGTCTGATCACCGAAATTAAGCAACGTCGTGTTTGGCCAGTACCTAGATGGGTAACCCTTGGGAATACCAGGTGCTATAGCTTACATGTGTGGGTGATGTGATGGATAACGACAGGGATATGGAACACAGAGAGCCGAGTTTCTATTCCAGTAAAGCTCGTTATACGCGCTAATGTAGGTCTCCACCTCTTCTCCTCCAGCTATGGGTGCTTAGTAGAACTTTTATCGGTAGATCATTATTATGTCCAAAAAATCCTTACGATCTAAAAATATTTTATGGCTTTAAATAACCTACCAAAGGTTGATAAGCCGTAAAAAAAAAACAACAACAAATCAATCAAGATTTTAGCAGAACCTATAAAAAATAGATTCGCGCTATTGTCATTAACAAAAGTCGCTATGTCACGAGTCCCGTAAGCGCAACACATGTACTGTAGCCATAGCAATAGTGGGGTACTTTGGGCAAGATAACTTGAAGTTTATCTCTCAACAGGCGGATTTTGAATTTCTCCTTTTTGAGTTTTCCTTCTCCTAGACTGGTTACCACCACAAGGTAAGAGAACCCGGTCTATCCAATCACTTCTCTTCATTCCATAGCTGATGGAGGAGAGGAAAGACAGATTTATGCTTTTCCCAAGGGCACGACAATGAACCCAGGAGGTTCAGCAGGAATTTGATCCCCTTTTTCACTTTTCGCACTGATGTCCGTTGCTCCACCCGCACATCCGTTGAAATTATTATAATACATAATAATATTAATCTCTTCAAAACTTCATAACCTGTCATTTGTTTTGCTTGAATGATATAAGCACAAACAGGAGCCCGTAAAATTGCTTAGTGCTTCAATAAAGGTTAGTCGTCATTCAAATTATAGATTAGCCTCAAAAGATAAAATCGTTTGGGATTCCATAGTCCAATTAGCTTAAGAGATGTATTCGTGCCTTTTCCATAGGCATTGTGCGAAGTGAATGAAGCAGAATCGAACGGGAATTGAATTTTTAATGGGAGGCACGGATAATGTACCAGTTATAAGCGCGGAAAGTTAATTCGGTGTGCTGATAACTGCTATCCACACCTCCCATTAACACGACTACAGGTTACAATTATAGTAATTTTTATTTATTCACACAGTGTGATAAACATAATATTAACGGTTGAGGCTCTACAACTGATCAAGGAGACCCTAAATTTTCGTCCATTTCGGTGAACGGTTGTGTATTCAAAGAAATCCTTGCTTTGAACGCTTGTTGGGACTCGAGTTCATCCCAGACCTCAAGAGGAACTCCTATCCATTGCAAAAGATATTGGAAAAATGGTGGTTCCTTGTATCGCTCCAAAAAGTACCTGTCACTTCCTGCAATACTCTATCCTTACAAACGTCAGATCAAACCAAAAATTAAGTGCTGCTGCCATATGTAAGTAGAGCTGACCTCACTTTCCAGCCTTGATATCGTTCAAAAGCATAGACGCGTCTTTGTGGGTGATGAATTATTTCCCACCCTACAACCCCTTTCCCACAGACAAAACGTTGCAAGCCGCTCGCTGCTTTATCGCTATTTCTATGGTAAATGTTTTGACGAGTTACACTCATTAACTGCACCAGTTCTGACTTTCACAGTTAAGATCCGCCATGCCACGTACACTGGGACGAATGAACTTCTTTCTCTTCGCATTCCGTTAGTAAGAATGAAGTGCCACACGTAGATGCTTCCCCGATCGCTACAATCTTAACCTCTTCAAGTCTATGGTCAACCGTTATCTTTCCGACATGTCCTCATGATCTACTCTCCTTACCTCCTCTTCTTACTTTCGTATAACAGCCTCATTCAGTAATCCCCTACATTGAGTGGCTCTTAAGCCTTGCCTTGAGTAAACAATTAGTAAAAAATATATTCATTATCACGCATATTATTTGGCATATTTTTATTATTTGTCGTTAAAGCTTATTAACTATCCTATCCTATACTACGTAGGTATTACCTTCCTTTGCAATTGTAGATTTACTGCCCCCCCCTTCAGTTTTTGATCTGAATACCGTGTTTATATGGGCAATGATTCAAAGTAATAGCTTTTCCCATCCATGGTACGGGAATGTCATGAGCTGTTTTTAATAATCTTAAGCTGAGCTGCTTGGGATTTTGTTATACGTGGCCAACGGCGTCTACAGCAATACATCCAGCGCATCAAAACGTTTCAATGTTTGTACAGGCTGTTTTAGTTCTAAGGGTCGATGGTTTTTGCGAGACTAAACTTTGCTTTTTTTATTGAGTAGTTAGGATTTTTTTAGAATCTTGAACACTGGGAACTCTTATAAAAAAAAAAAAAAACTTATTAAATGTGACACTGAGGAATCTTCAACGAACTAGGACTAGAAAAGAAGCAAACACACACACATACATGCACACACACACACACACACATATATATATATATATATATATATATATATATATATATATATATATATATATATATATATATATATATGTTTATTTACTTCTGGTTCCTTTTTAAACTTTCTTTGTAAATGTTGAAAGTTCAACAGAGAATAAATTAGATTGTGGGTGCTAAGTAATATCAAGTTTCCTTTTCTCTGATCTAATCTAATTAGATATTCACTCGGCACCCCTCAATTGAGGTCTTGTGCCATACCAAACGTACCGAACGAAATTTGATACATATCACTCCAGGTTTTCATTTTGGGAATTTTCTTTCATAGAGACAGAAAAAATAGTTCAAATTCTATTTGTTCTTTTGTAATATGTCTTTCATGCCAGATCATGCCAGAATAGAATTTATACGGGAAGCCAGGCGTAGAGTTGAGCTGACAGATGACCTCTTGACCGATGAGTAGAGGACCCACGTGACTGGCACATTTGCACCTGAAATGCACGAATACGTAAAAGCCGTATTACAGAAATATAAACACCGACTATAGAGAGAAAAGCAGTCGCTCCCAGATATCGCAGGCAAGAATTTCATGTCCACGTTTTGGATGATTGGCCCGGGGCTGCATGCACCAAATAGAGGCCGAGTTAATTTGAGAAAGTCAAGTGTTGAATAAAATGTAATGAGATATTCAAGTCTTGTGTTTTCATTTAAACGGTAAAACATTCTTCATTAACCTATTTTAAGATATATTCTTTGAAAGTAAAACTGAAAATATTGTTTTTCCAAGAATTCACAAAACAAATATAAAATATTAATACCTCTATCTTATGATAGTTGTTATATTTACATCCACATTTCATACATTCAATGTAGAAATTAATATGGGACAGAGGTAGTTTGATGTAATCATATATTTCTTAATATTTATTGCTACTCGTGTCCCATAATAATTGTTACATTTGCATACACATTTCATACATTTAATGTAGAAACTAATATGGGACAGAGATAGTTTGATCTAACTGATATATTCTTAATATTTATTTCTAATATTGTCCCATAATAGTTGTTATATTTCATATAAACATTTCATACATTTAATATAGCAACTATTATAGAACCATGGTGATATTATCATTTTCTAACATGAAGCAGTGTCTATTACTATTAATTTTTCTACTGGTTTATCTTTCACCTTAATTTCGATTGCTCTTAATCCCAACTCACAATCCTTTTTTCTACAATCGTTAATATACATCACGTGTTGAAAATAAAGCATAAATCTTCGGTAGGACACGAACCCTTGTTCCGAAGAGTAATTGAAATTAAACTGAAAGACATAATAAACGTTTTCATTAAAAGTTCTTGTTTCATTAGTTGCGATCGATGTAAATCAACCGTAAAATTATTCGTTAGTCCAGTTGTTGCTAGAAAATCAATTGCAACTTACAGAAAATCATTCAGTTTATCAATCAATACGTGAAATATACTAGAATAATTTTTCAATATCATGCGTTACAATTTTATTTTTCTAAGTTAGAAGTTTTCGTTACTATCTACAATTTACTCTTTAACAGTAACCAGCTTGTAATAAAGAGTTTATGACTAAGTAGAGATAAGGGACAATTTCAGACGTTTATATAAGAGTAATCTGTAAACATTCGATGAACTATTGCAGTTTTTACTGCTCCATTTGTTAATAGGCCTAGCACGAGGATCGCTTAGTAATCTGTCCAATTTTTACGGTCCTGTAATCATAAAGCGATCTTGTAGGATTATTTGATTATTTTATTGCTGGTAATTTTTCAATTATGGAACCATTTATGTTTGTTCTTGTGTAGATAATTAATATATATTCTGATTTGACACTTATATCGACCGGCTAATTTGACACGCAAACAATTGCACTAAAATGATTACGTGTGCTCGATTATTTTTATATTTATGTTATAATGTGAAAGAATGGTCACTATCACCAACCATTGCAAAAGCAATAGGAGCACAATGCCGTATATGAACTAATAGAGAGAAAAACAGAGATCTACTTGAATTAGGCTAATTCTAATCCAGCAGACGTTAACGGCTTCAATATAAAAAAAAACCTTTCTGGCCTTAGCATCTGATAAGTTTATTTATTACACATTCATCAAAAATTCCAAAGCATTTTCTTTACACACTGGTTTTATTTCTCATTCCGACCTAAAGACGCTGTCGTGGGTATGGCGAAAAGACTACATCCGGCAGCAAGGCCTCTCATTTGAGGAACGTGGGACCACCTATTAATTGCTGTTGTTCCTAGGTTCACCCTGACCCGGGGTGGTATCACCTGTTAGGGTCCCAGCCACTGGCAAAAAGTTAACCCCCAAACTGGAAACAAAACACATGAAAGTATAACAATAAATTTTTATAGTAACAATACCAGCAATACATTATCGTAGTAAAAAAAGTTACCAGAAATATATTTTTATAAAAAAATAAAAATTACCAGCAATACATTTTTGCAAAAAATTACTAATGCTATCAAGAAAATCAAATGACCCATAAGGAGTTGATATGCCGCTAAACAAACAAACAAAACTTTATGATGCCTGTTAGAAGAACAAGATACGCGTTGTCTATACAACTTTTTCCACTTTGTCTCCACTTTAGTCTAAACCAACGTTTCCAAATAGTAAATCATCTTGTC